CCAGATGAGGTTTGAACAAGGTTCAGACTGACCAATCACTGCCCTTAATGTTTTGGCGCATTGATCAAATACACCAGACATCGCACTGTTTCCATAATTTTTGCAGTCACCCACGAATGCAAGGTCAACTGATTTAGGCTCACCGAAAGTGCTGCATCTGTCAAAATTGAACCTCATGAGGAATGTTTTTGCACTTCTTAGAAGTGTCAATAATTCAGTCACGCTATTTCTTTAACCTAAAATTTTAAATATGTACACAAGTACATGTTTTCTATCCATGCGACCATGTTGGAGCAACACAGTGAATCTGATTGGCATAGGTCCTCAAGTCAATTCAGCATTTGGTTTCAAGAAGATAATTCACACATCCTAAAGACGCTCATAATTCAATATATAGTCAAAATTTCAAGTGTTAGCCAGAATATTAAGCCCAATGTCTTAGAATATCAGTAACAAAATCATATGTATATATAATGCACTTGAGGAAGGCATTGTGTATATATATATTTTTTTTTAACTCACAATCCTTAATAACAGCACAGTCTGGGTGAAGAATGTAGCTGAGCTTAAGTCAAACTGGAGACCCTGATTGAAAAGATTGTGTGGGACAGTGAGACACAAAGGGAAACTGATCACATCAGACCTTAATGGCCACATTTTGAATTAAAATGAGGTTTTACGAGACAGATGAAAGAAAAAGACTAATGATTAATGCTCAGCGGCGGCGCCAAGCACTGATAATGGTCATCTTTTTTTTTTTTTTTTAATGATATAAATAACGTGTGAGATGTGTAGTTGGCTGATGATTGATTACTGGCTAAACAGAAATATCTAAATGAGTTAGTAGTGTATTATCACTCTAGGCAGCCTTTTTTGGCATTTGACTACACACCCTGATGCTAAAGCTGAGGTTAATTCAGGATTAATTTCTGTCATGTGAATACAGGTTGATAGTATTTGATAATAGCTATCACAGGTTGATAAGTTTGCATAGACCCTTGAAACCCAACCATCACCATCTCAATATCATAATCTTAATGATTAAACTACAGCTCGGAGCAGCATACCCAACTTCACCCTTTGTACTTTTGGTCGATACATAGCACAAAAAATGCTGTAATAGTCTACATGATACAGTTACATTCAATTGTACTTTGTTCCTTTTAAAATTAAAAAAACTTTGTGGCACATAAAATGGTTATTTATCTATTAGGGTTTTTCGTTAATCTCTTTACAGGTGAGCTTGTATCATGCCACCACTACAGCAAACACCAAAAAGTGTTTTTTAAAATCCATGTGTTCAGTAAAACAAGAGTCCACTATGGCTGCTTTTGCAGCTTCATGATACACAGCAATAAAACTCATAGACTTTATTCAAAGAGGTACAAAGAGTGAAATGGGGTATGTTCCAGAGACTTACAAAACACTCGTCTGAGAGGAGACATATCCACGTGTAAACATATGCTGTGTTTGTGGTTTTGCTCTTTTCTCCGACGGCTAAAAAAATAAAAGCATAAAACACTGTAGGAGGGTACAGTCCTTGGAGAGTGAAGAGGGGAGGGGAAGTCAGGTCAGCGTCCTTCATGCGATAAACAATGCTCTCTTTAGCTGGCGATTTTCTCAATTTCATCCAGATCATCTGTGTCTAGTTTTTCAATTTTCTTACCTGTAGAGGAAGAAATCATAGAAAAAGGTAGGGTTCATTTGGAGGGTTGACATATGGCTGATCACTAAAAAGCCGCCATCTCCCTGATTTGAGTTGTACGGTTAACAAATGCTAAGAATATTCACACAGCTGCTGATCCTGCTGTTTGTGTGTATAGGAAAGTGTGTGTACTGTAGCAGCTGCAGACTTACTGAAATGCTCCTGGATCCTGTTGAGGATGTTCATGCTCATCCTGCTGTCCACCATGTTGATGGCCAGTCCCCTTTTGCCAAATCGACCCGTGCGGCCAATCCTGTGCAGGTATGTCTCGTTGTCTGGGTTACCATCCTTGTCTACTGGCAAGTCGAAGTTGATCACCACAGAAACCTGCTCGACATCAATACCTGTATGTAGAAGACAAGTGGGGAGAAAGATAAAATGTACATGGGCAGTACTGTGTTATTTATTAGTACTTGTACCCAATTCCTTTTAATATATGCTATCAAATGCATTTTATTTGAATAATAGGGTATTTATTGTCTTTTATGACGCTTTTGAATTCAAACTTACACTTTCTACTTTTTATTTTTCAATGATTTCAACTCCCATCAAGATGTACCACAGTGCAGTGCAGTGTGCAAGCATGAGCACTTTTGAATATATATAAAAGTATAAAATTAATTTAAGGGCGTTTAAATCTAAATATATAAATATAATAAATCTTAATTATGAGGAAAAACATGTAATATATAAATGTACATGTAAGAGTTCAATAGAAAGTCCTAAGATGTGTATTCTGCTCATTCTGACAACACTTGGTCCTTACCTCGAGCGCAAACATTTGTGGTGACCAAGACCTTCTCCTTGCCATCTCTGAAGCGGTCGATGACAGCAGCCCTCTGCTCCACCTGCATCTCCCCACTGAGCAGCGCCACCTGGTGGCCTTCTCTGGACAGCTCCCCTGCCAGCCAGCCTGCAGTCTTCCTTGTCTGGATCACACAGAAGAAACTGCTGTTAATACTTCACCAGTGCGCATCTACCCAAAGGTAAAAACGTAATTTGGTAATTATTAGTAGCAGATTTACAGGAAGGCTTTGTGCCTTAATAAACACCGGAGTAATATGTTAAGTCTGCTTGTATTGCCAAGTTATTTTTTCACACACAGAAAAAGCTTCGCAACAAAAACAGCAGGTTTGCTTGACATTCTGATGCGGTCACAGAAGACAAAAGTGCGAATCATTGTTTTTTTTCCTACAGCTCATGTATGACCCTTCATATGTAAATATGAAGAGAATGAACTCACATGGCAGAAGATCATGGCCTGGGCGATGGTGATGGCACCATAAATGTTACAGAGGGCCTGGAACTTCTCCTCCCTGCTGTTGCACAACACGTAGTACTGTTTGATGGTATCCAGTGTCTCCTCCTCTCTCTTCAACTTGATGATGTTGGGGTCAGGCACGATGCGCTGGGCGAAGTTCCACACTGACTCTTCAAATGTGGCGGAGAACAGCAACATCTGGCAGTTTTTGGGCAGCATCCTGTGTGGCAGAGACGAGAAAGGTCAAAGTCAGCTTGACAAAATTACATTTTAGGGATGTCTCAATCAAGTTGTATTAGCCTCTGATCCGAGTCATTTAGTATTCATTATCTGCCCATACGGAGTCCCGATCCCATTTTCTTTTTAGATAAACCAGTGCGCAGTGCACTCTTCAAGCACCTTAAAAATGATTCAAATCAATCCAATGTATGTGGCTTGACAATTCAATAGATCTACACTGCATTAAGAAACAAACTGCCTCTTAATGTTTTTTATACACAAGTAGAAAATAACAAACCCTCTAATTTTTTCTTGGTTTGCAGCTTTCAGTTACCTGAATGAGCTGTATTTGGTGTTTATTTCTTTTATCTCTACACCTTTTGTGCGGATTACATTAATTTATTACTCTTATTGGCTTTTTGTTTTCCGGACGTTTGTTGCACTTGCACTGGGAGTGTCGGATCTCTACCGCTCTCTCTTCCGAGCACAGGCATCGCCCGTGTTGAAACTTTGCAGCGGGCGTGGCTGCTCCTGCTCTCTCACACAAAGAGCAGGGTGCAGGAAATAAAACAGCAGAGAATTGAATGACTGCTCCGTGCATGAAAGCTTTGTGAGTAAACAGCTGTATGACAGCTGAATTCAAACAAAAGATTGGAAAAAGAATTAAGCTCAACATAGCCGATACCAATCAGTTAAAAAAGGCCTTGATGGGAGATGAAATTAACAAGGTAATTGATAATTATGATGTGGATTTCATTACGTTTTAGGAACACAGTTCACGATCTCAATGCTTAAATGATGACTTTTCATTTCGTGTGTGCTAAAGATTGTTTCTCCTTTGGTGCTTGTTCTCACCTCTGAATTCGGATGCTCTGGTCCTGGTGACCCTGTGTGGCGATCATGACGTCGGCCTCGTCCAGCACAAACACCTTGATCTTCTTGGGGTCTATGAACTTGAACTTCCCGCACCAGTCCAGCATGGTGCCAGGTGTCCCAATAACTATCTGTTCCTGCAGCTTCATGCCCCGCTGCACTGAAACGTTAAGAAATAAGCACTCATCAACCCACAGGGCCATCTCTCAGCTGCATTTATGTTTTCAGCAATGAAACAATTCAGCCTTTAATATAGTAATAAATAAGTAATTGGTAACAGAATATCTTCATCGTCTATAACAGTGTAGATATAGCATTGTGGAGAGCAGATAAGCCTTACATTTATTTCCTCTGATGGCGTAGACTAGTCTGACCTCAGGATAGTGTTTGCCCATCTGCTCGATTACCTTGCCAGTCTGAAGTGCCAGTTCATATGTGGGTGACACACACAGGCACTGAAAGAGAGAGAAATAAAATGTGAAATGTTATGAAATGTTAGATTCTCTTGACACTAAGATCAAGTTATCAAAGAAAATTATTATTGTGAGAGACAGGTAGAAGCAGGCCAGAGATACTCTGAACAGCAGCTCACATATTAATTTTGAAACTCAAGATTACAATTTGAGATCTTCTACAACAACAAGGGAAGTTCGACCAACCTGCGGATATTTGTTGTTGGGATCTACATGACTGAGCATGGCCAGGACGAAGGCAGCTGTTTTCCCTGTTCCCGACTGCGACTGGGCAATCAGATTTTGTGGACTAGAAGAAACAACATTACATTAGTTTGCAAGCAACGGCAGTAACATTATTATTGGGACTATTAGTTTAAAAGGTTATATAGGAACTATTCAGGGTGAGAGATTTCAGTACTCACGGTTCGGCCAGCATCATAGGTAAGGCAGTCTCCTGGATTTTGGATGGCCGGTTGAAACCCATGCCGTACACGCCCTGAAGCAGCTGTGGTTTGCTGCACATAGGAGAAAACAGTTAAATGCCTTCTTAGATCGACTAATAAGGAAAAAACTGAAGGAGCAGGTGTGGTTAAAGTCTGGGAAAACCACCTTTCTGACTGTAATTATATCATTCATAACTAATAGTGTAGGGCAACAGGAGACAAGAATACAAGATTCACTTACAGTCGCAACTCCTCAAAGGACTTGACAGAGTAGAGCGGAGAGTTGGGATCCTTCTGAAGAACTTCTACTTGATTGGTGTTATTGACCAGATTATTTCGTATCAGCTTGTTTAACAACGACTGTGCCGCTTTGTCCTCTGAAAAATAAAGTTGTGTTTTAGTCAGTGTTACAACTCAGGGGACAATCAAGCATCTCAAAGAAAGACAAGCAGGAATGTCAGGCAGCTTCACCGGAGGGATGAATATTTTTAGGGCACGTAAACAATAAACTGCCCACCTTTGTCATCGTCATCTGCAGTCTTGTTTTCTCCCTCAGCTTCTGTCTTTGCTGCCGCACTGCTGGAGTCTGTTGCGTTTGCAGTCGTGCCTGCAGCATTAAAAAGGACACTTGTGTTTAAAGGCCAAACACTTTTGGGATCACTGGTTTTCTGACTATAGTCTGCACACTGACCGTTTTCCTCTGGTTTCTCTTTTATTTGAAGGCTGCCGATCTATGAGGAAGAAGAAGAAGAAAGTTTAGAGTTGTTTAACAAAATAACGTTTATTCATTTCTATAAAAGTCAGGACCAGCCCCGGTTTCTGTCCCTCATTGCAACACACGAGAGGCGCCAACTGGGACTCATGGTTACTTCTTCATCACTATTTTTAGAGCCTCTTGCATCTTCAACCTGCTAGCCAGCTAACAGCTAGTAACATTAAAGTCAGTGAGCACGCAGCTGCTCGGCTCAGGCTAGTTAACTTAGCTCCCACACGGACCGAGGCCGCCGGTACTTCCGTCTCTAACTTCAAGTGAACGTTACCGACACAGACTCTCACAGGGGCCCATTGATCCACCGCCAGAGCTGTCGACGAACAGTGTCAAGTACAAGAAATACGGCTGAGCAGCGACTCTCCGTTGAGGTTGTAACCAGAACAGGCCGGAGCATCCTTTAAACGAGCTAACAACACGTTAGCTCGTGTTGCGTAAGTTACGGGTTTTACCGATTCCGCCGCGGCTTCCTGCTCGTCTACCGCCTGGGCCCAGGAGTCCGTAGCCATTGTGGGACAGTTTCTTCTCTTGATATCTCACTGAGGATAACTGGGCTGGGGAAGCAAGCTCAGAGTGAGGACTCAGTAATGTGAAAGTAACTATTTTCCACAATGGCGTGCGGGAAACCGATTCTGGGCACCTGTGCAACCGCTCACATGTCCGAGTGGAATGTCAGTGTCACCGATATTAGTTCCGAGCTGAACGTTCCCACGCGATTTACAAAAAGACACAGGTGTGGCTCTTAAATTGTTTAAATTCAAAATGTTTTTATCAAAAGAACTTTCATTTAATTCCAACCTTTCAATTTTACTTTTTTTGGTAAAGATTTTGGCGACTGGAGGCTCAAGCTCAAGAAACACTACTCTACCGAGCCTGTAGGTGGCGCTAAAGCGTTCTGCATAAACTCACTCTTTCTAAATACTAAATATGTCTGTAGCATAGCAAAATCTGAACACACACACACACACTGACAACAAGATGCAAAAATGATTCAGGTCTGTTTATTCATAATTCAAACAAGGGGTCGGGCAGTGACCTGACAAAGAAGATAGATAAGGGCCCTAGACCCTTAAGGGCCTAAAGATTTCAGGTTCACTGTGCTGTGTTGTCAACTAGTTTGTAGAAATTGGATTTATTGCAGCTTTGTTTGGTTATATGCCTCTCTAACACACAGTATAAACTGGATTGGTAAGGGTAAGGCTTTTTATTTATATGTAACTCCATATCATGCTTACATCATGCATCCTAAACAGAACTGAATTATCACAAACTACCTCAGAGATTGGGGGGTGAAGGGACTGGGGCCCTCTAGTGGATAATCCAACCCTGAAGACAGGACAAAGTCTCAAAGGTGGTGAAGCACTGGGAGACAGCCTCAGCAGTCAGATGAGCTGGAATGAAGTGAGTGGAGCTCTATTAATTCATTTTGGATTTAAACATGTTTTCAGTTTGTCACTATTTCTAAACTTGTACTGTTTAAAAGAAAAAGTGAATATCTGATGTATTGTTTTTTCTGAGAGACATGTTGGACAAGGAGTGATGAGAGTTGGCAATGACACATCCTTCTCTTATAATCCTACCATAGCCCTTCATCCAGGTCGGTATAAATCAAGGTCTAGAGCCATATTCCTTCCAGTAAATGCAGCATCATTGCACAAATTGCCTTATTCAGTGCATGCTTGTATATCAGAAGCTTTGTATTGATTATGTACGTCTACAGTGGACATGGAACATATATTTGTATATTAAAAAAATGATTTTCCCTTTAAAGTTCCTATCTAATTAGTTCCTTTAGTCTTAAAACACACTTCAGTCAGACAGTTTATGGAAAAAAATAGGACTAGTCAATTAAAAATAGGGCTTGTTTCCGCATCTCCCCGATTTCACCTCTGTGCATCACACTATGATTTTAATACCTTTTCTTTGCGATATAACCATGCAATACTTTCTAAGAGGAAACCTTCTCTAAACCTTCACTGAGATCACTGTAAACAGTTTAAGATTATCATATTTTTACAAAAGTATCATTGTTGTTGTTAAGCTTATTAATAGTGACTTTATCATTGACAGCCTTACTGAATAATGAGGGGAGAAAACCCCAAATACCACCAAAATTAGAAACTCAGAAGCATGAATGAACGGCTGTGATGCAACCGGTGCATCATCATTAAACAGTAACAACTAGTACTGGGTGAGAGAAGCTGGATCCCAAGTGGAAAAACTTCCTGTGAAAGTGAAAGTCAGTGCAATGTTTTATTGTTTTTTGACCACTTCAGTTTTTAGGAGAAATAGCAAATCAGAGTGAAATCATTAAACCATATGTACAATTTTTATAAGCCACAAAATTAGATTTAGCTTATAGACGCAAAAATGAGCGACCCAATAAATCTTTTTTTAACAATGTTTTGGACGATCCTGAGATATTTGTAAAGGATCAGACACTGATCCCTTTCTGCATTGGCTACCTTTCTATAGAAGAGCCTATTGGGACTATGACTATGGCTGTTCTAGTGCATACGTCTGGTGTGTGTGTTGTTTTTGTGCAGACTATGTATTACGTTGTGGGGACATATATCTTTAGGGACAAAAAATACTAGTTCCCACAATGTAAACCATGCAAGGGTTAAGACTTGGTTAAAGGATAAGGTATAAGTGAGGGGTTAACTTTCTAGGACAGGTGCACTGACTTCCTTTGGGATACCTTTCCCACAAAATGTTTTTACACCCTGTATTTTGTTTGGATTAACCTAACAAGATTAAATGTTGGTGCCATGCCATTATTCCAAAACCCCAGTAGTCTGAAAAATGTCACATTGGACTGAAAAATCATTTGTCTGACACTCCATTATCCTGAAAGCAAATGCCCATTGTTCCGAAAATACCATCATATTTGACTCAAATCACACACAAACATAGCTTAACTTGTGTAAATGACTTATATGTAAATATTTTAACCTAAACCATGATCTTTGCCTAAACCTAACCAAACTGTGACATTTATTACAACGTTAAATTTTTAACATTTTTCATCAAGTAATTGGTTTACCTTGATTAGGCAAGCTCAGTAAATTGATTCTCAGTTCATATCAGTAGATTTCTTCAGTGTTAATACCACAACTGGTTCAAGCCTGTATATGAAAATGACTAAACATGAAAATGTACACCGTTATGTTATTCTATTGACAGCATTAGTTCATTAAGTATAGTAGCCCTCCTGACAATTTTTTTCCATTTTGCAGACCCCTGCACTAAATCCTACACACTGATCCTTGAAGTGCACAGCAGAGAACTGAGAGTTTACTCTTTATCTGAAACAGTCCAGAAGACCAATCTATCAGTCATGACACACAAGCCCTTTACTGTGTTGGCACAATTAGGAATGGTGCCACAGCAAAGTTATCCCAGTTTGATGCTTTAGTGGAAACCAGGCTAATAACCAGAGCTGGCCTCCACTGAGGACCATGCAGGAGCACTCGGGGTCACCTCTGGAGCCAGAGTGCTGTGGTTGGCTGCTCCTTAAATGAATTCAGAATTGATTTCACACATTTCCCCGGTTCCACTGGGATAGATAGATAGATGATGACAGTGGCTTTGGATTGTGCTCAAGGAGATTACATTGATCTCTGTTCCGCTGTCATCCAATGGTCAACGGCGCTCTGTGCGTGCGTCAGTCTGAGTTTATCTACATGTATGCGTGAGCATACGTTAGTGGGTGTGTGTCAGCATGTGAGAGTCTCTTAGAATGTCAGTTTGGAGACAAATTTGTCAAAGGCTTGAAAGAGCTGAGTTTATTGTTGCCTCCAATCAGCTGCCTTGCCGGAGGTATCCATGGCAACTGAAAGAGTAAAAGTAAGGCTTGAGGTCTCCAGAGAATTTGGAAGAGACAGAGAGAAGGACTTTGTATTGCCACATAAGAACTCATTTCACCGCTGAATATGACAGAAAGCATATCAAAGTAGAGTGGTCGCAGTAGAAATTGGTTTTACTGTGTGAACGATGTGAAGAAAGGTAAACACTCTGCCATAAATACATAATGTAAGATCGCTCAAACACTACTCGACACTCAAAAATATACAGTTTATGTAGGCAGTGTACATACTCTCCATACAGTAACACTTCAGCTGGGTGCTACAGTAGCTTGAACCTGTGTCCTCCAGCTGAAAGATGATCTGCCGCCTGATAAATATAAAAACTTATGCAATATATAAAACATGAGAATACAGTATAGAAAGAGGTAGAGGAAGTAAACATTTGAGTCCCTTTTTTGTCATTTTTTGTTTCCAAAGGACAGTTAGTTGTTCTCAACTGAGGTATAATACCACTGTATTATGACATTATGTTGGTATGGACGATTGTTTTTATGTTTTTGTTGGGAGACAATTAATAAAAAGACTCTGCATGGAATCGAAGAATTAGAGTAAAGGTAGATCAGGTAGGTTTTATATTGTATGTCTCTGTTAAGTTTCTTTTTTACTTTAAGTTTCATGCAGCAATTATTTATTTTTCCTTGGAACATGAATGGCAGCTGTCTTTGTCTCTATGTGGTATTACCATGTGTCATTTAATCCCATGTGGGATGGTCCACTTCAATTGTATGACACAAAAATAAAAATGTATTCAGTCATTCATTCAATCATTCATATGATGCCTCAAGGCAGATTTGAACTGTGAAAGGGTGAACACGTAGTTCAGTGGCCAGGTGTGCCTGACTAGTTCAAGCATCTGAAAGCCCCTGAAAATACAGAACAGAAAGGAAAAGTAAGAGACAATTAGTGAATAGATAAAATGTAATTATGGACTATTCTTACACTTTGTGAGAATAGTGTGAACACCAGATGGTTCAGATTAGATATAAAGTTATATGTAAAAGGCAGGAAAGGTGTGGTATAAACTGGCAAAGGGAAGGCAATTCTTTCAATACAAGCTACAAGCAGACAGCAGACAACAGGCGGACATGGTGGCATAACAAGTACAGACAGGTAGAACTGAAGAAGACGTAGCAGGCTCAGACACCTCAGCAAAAGACAATCTGGGAGAAAGTTGACGCTGGCTGTCCTCTTCTAGGGCTGTGGAGGGGCTATGCAGACAGGTGACTGATACAGGTGACATGGAGACTCTGTAGTGACCACTGGTGGGCAGGTGCAGGACTGCAAGAGTGGAGAGACGGGAGAGCATTAACCATTAACCATTTTCTCTCTTTATTTTTTTGCCACTTGGCACATTTGAACACATTTGATATGGCCTTTAAAGTTGTTATAGGTAATCTGTTAGCAAACTGTTGCCTATTTACAAATCCATACAAATAGTATCCAGCAGATTTAGCAAAATTAACATCTATTTATAGTCGTGTTTCTGGCTACCAGATAAATGTAAGTCCAGTATTAACTCTCCTTTTAGTACTGCTTTCACAAACCCTTTAAACATATATCTGGAGTCAACCAAGTAGTAAAGTTGTGGGTCAGAGAAACAAAACAATGATCTAAAACATGCTAAAATGCTCCATGTAGTCATTTGACCATTGTTTAGATACAAATATTGATCAGTACAGCTTTAATATCTGTGGTGCATGTATTAATCAGATTAGCTATTTGAGGGAGGATGAGGGAGCAGTTGCCATGGCATTAGAAATATGTTACTTAAATACTATGTGATGGATAAC